GGCGGTAAATGTTTTGATGATCTAAGTATGTAATGTTCCTTTGCTGTTGTTTGTTGCAAGTGCAGCATGTATGTCCGTTGTGAAAGCGGCCTCAATATTGGTCATTGCCTGCCCGCCTGTCTGTGCTACACCTCGAAGTCTCAGGTACGCCAGCAAGCTCCTCGTGACGTATCTAAGAGGCGTGGTAATCACAAAAATAGAGGTGAATCAGCCAGAGGTCCTCATGGGTCCTGCACTCCAAGTGCTCCAAGGTCCTCAAGACCTCAACCAGTGTATCGCGCGCCTTGACCTGGACGAGCGTTGTGCATTTACTCGCTCTCGACCTGGTCAATCGAAGTAAGGGGATGATTTCCGAAGTGCTGCTAGTGTGAGGTGATGCGATGATGATGTGCACTTGCACTTCGGTGTTCTGCGATTTTTCTTCTTTTCCTGTGTCGAGCCTGTGTGCTGTGAGAGAGAGTTGTTTTGTTTAAATTCTTCTTTTCAAGCCCACCACTCCGGCACCATGCTGGCGCTCTGCTCCGCAATCCATGTCGGCTTCACGCTGCCGCCGCCCGAGCCAGGCCGCCGCGCAGCCCTGGTCGGCGCTGCGAGCGCGCTGTCGCTCGGCGTGCCGCTGGTGGCGACGGCGGACGAGAAGCCCGTCATCTCCCCCGTCCCGCTGGGCCAGCAGGCAACAGCCCTAGCAGCAGTCTAGCGAGCAGCCTATAGCGATACATCGCCACTTACGGCCTTTACTTCATCGCTTCAGGTTCCGGTCGGCGATGCGCCGGGCAAGGCCACGCCGACGGTCAAGCTGCCGCAGTACAAGAACGACCCCAACAAAGGGACGTGCAACTGGCGGTCGGCCGACAAGACTGGTGCCAAGTCGTCGTGCGTCAAGACGCAGGTGCTCGAGCCGTACAACGTCCGGCTGGCGCAGGCCTTCAACGGCGACTTCACCGACCCGGCGCACCCGCAAGGCTACCGCCGCGTCCTCGTGACCGGCTTCGGCGACGTCGAGATCAAGGGCTCGGACGAGCAGCGGTTCTGCGGAGGCCCAAACGACACCTCCAACACCTGCGCGAACTTCAAGGAGTTCACCCTCACCGGCACGATGGCCAAGGACGGCAAGAGCCTCACCATCGACTTTTCGCCAAAGGGCGGCCCCACCGACCTGCTGGCGAAGAAGGTCTTCAAGAATGGCGTCACTGGGCATGAGCACCTAGACGCAGCAGAGTGCAAACCTAGAACTAGCTCTGCCAAGCAACCTCTAGCACCTAGAGAGACGCCGCAGGGTGGGCTGCACTCGGCTGATCCGCATCGTCATTCTCTGTACGCCATGAGAATGCGCGATGAGAGGACGCTAAGAGTCACTGCGCGTCACACCGTACCACCCCACAGTTTCCCGCTGTCCTCGCCAGGCTTGAGTTCCCCGATGGCAACGTCTGGAGCAAGGTTTACTATGGGCCGATGACGCAGAGGCTGCTCGACGCACACGGCCCAATCTAAATCGGGAGCGGCATGCATCATGTTGCGCGCGGAGGGCGCGGCGCGTACGCCCGGTGGTTTGCCACCGGGTGCGCGCGGCGGGGTCGCGCCACGTAACGTACGTTCATTCATTCGTGCTGAACAGCGCCTCCGGTTTGATCTCTATGCCGGGGAGACCTCGGTGTGTGTATTCACCCCGTCGCTTTTGAGAGTTTGTCAGTTTGTGACATAGCAAATACAGGGGGGCCCGCGAGGGAGACGCGGAGATGCCACTTGCCAGCAGCCAGGGCCGAGGCTATGGGGCGGCGAGAAGTGGAGCTGTAAAGTAAAAAAATAGTGCAAGACTCTCGGATGTGACGCATAGTGTGACCCCCCGATGCTCATCTTCTCAAAGAACATGTGGGACATCTCTCTCTATCATATACGCTCCTTTGGGGAATTTTGCCTCTGTGTAGTGTGTTGGATGGCTGGCAACAAGATGGCTGACTGGCGTGGGTGGTTTGCAAACAAAACACTTGGCTGAATGAATGTGATGCAGCGCTGGCAGCCCGGAACATGCCGCTAATTACACGCCGCGAGTCGCGCTGACACACGCTGCAATTGAGGACCTCTTTGATGAGGACCTCTTGTGCCTCGATGCATCTTGTGCCTCTGAGGACCTCTTGAAGGATGAGGACCTCTTCGTCTGCGGCTCTCGATGAGGCACGTCGTTCAAACTCAGAGAGAGCAACCGCTACCCCATCGAGGCGAGACAGAGACATTACAGAGACAGAGATAGAGCGCGAGAAGGTCCTCACTGGTAGGTAAGCTAAGAGGTCCTCACGGACACGGAGGTCCTCACGGAGGCGGCCAGGACCTCCTCGCGAGCACATAGAGCTCGATTCGACCCCCGTCCGCCACCCCCCCAGTCCCCCATTCGCCATTCTGACCCAATAACTGCCTGATAATTGACTGTCTCCGACCTGACTCCGTTTTGTGCCTGTGCCTGGCAGAATCCAGGAATCCAGAATGCAGAAAGCAAGAAGACGCAGGTGGGAAATCTTATAGCAGAAAGAATGAAGGGTCCGAGAGAAAGAGAGATAGGTTTGTGCTGAGTGAGTGAGTACACCGCACGCCGATTACGACATCACGGCCCACCGCAGCGACACTGCAAACCTCACAGGATGCGCTTCCTCGTTCTTGCGCTCCTCGCGGCGGGCACCTCCGCATTGCTAGCACCGCTCCGGCCTCGTCCGGCCTACCGCGTCGCGCGCATCTCTCTTTCCGAGCCAGTGGCGGAAGACGCGATTGTGGCCGAGGCGAAAAACGCCGCCGCTGAGACGGACGCTACGGCCGTCGAGGCGGCACTGCCGGCAGCAGCGAGCGTCGCGGAGGAGGAGGAGACGCCCGACCGTCGCCTCATCCTTGGCGGCGGCGCAGGTCTACTCGCGCTACTCGCCTCCAAAACCATCTTTGCTCCTCCTCCTCCGCCGCCGCCACCGCCTCCGGCAGCCAAGGGGAAGAAGGGCGAGAAGGCGAGCAAGCCGGCGAGCAAGTCGACCGCGGCTGCGGTCAAGGCGGCGCCAAGGAAGTCCGCAAAGGCGCCGCCTCCCGCCAAGGCCGGCAAGGTCAAGCCGGCGGCAAAGGCTCCGGCGCCGGCGCCAGCAGCGGCGGGCAGCTTCTCGAACGCCGCCATCGCTGCAAACGCAGTTACGCTCGCCGTCGCGGCGGTCGCGGCGAGTTCGCCGTCCGCGCCCGACCCGCGCTTCTCCTCCGTCCGCCGCCGCCCCAGCCCCGTCGCCGCTGCGCCGCGCCGCGCCGCCGCGCCAAGCTACAAGCCGAGCGCAACGACCGGCAGCGGCGCGTCACAGGAGGCACCCGCAAGCCTGAGATACACTCGACCTCTCGGCTCTTCTGCCATCTCTTCGCCCCCGCCTCCTCGCCCCCCTCCTCCCGCCCTCCTCCCTCTCTCCTCTCCTCTCTCCTCTCCCCTCTCCTCTCTCCTCTCTGCAGTGGCCTCGCTGCTCTTCCACGCCTCGCTCGCGGCGGAGGCCATCCGCTTGTGGGCGCAAGAGCGCGGCTTCGAGCTGCCGGCGCAGCCTGAGGACGAGGGCTGCGCCGTGCGGTGGCTGTGCTTCGCTGCGTTGCTGTGCGAGTCCAACCCGCCGGCGAGGGCGGCGGCAGGCCAAACGCACAGCGTCTTCATCGACGGCGAGGGGCGGCTCTCGTCGTGCGGCTCGGAGGAGCACGTCGTAGGCCTCCTTGGCCACGGAGAGGGCGTGGCGCGGCTCAACACGCCGACCCGCCTCCCGTCGC